TTATAGCTTCAAGTCTAGCAACTGGAGCGAAGGTTTCATCAAAATCTATACCTTCTTCTTGACAGTATCCTTTTGCAACTAACCGGGCCTTGTTTCTGACAACAACGCCGTTTTCATCCATCTTGTTCCGGAAGACCCACTTTGTCCCAATGACATGTTGATGAGTAGGTCTGGGAACAAGTTTCCAGACATCATTTCTTGAAAACTGGTTGAGTTCTTCTTGCATTGCATTGATCCAATCAGAACCAGCTAGAGCTTCTTCAATATTCTTTGGTTCCACTTGTGAGATGAAACAAGCAAGCATAGCTTCTAGATTCTGTTGGGCGAACACCAGATTGAATATTTCCAATGATCTGTTGAGGAGGATGATCCCTTAACCAACGAAGATTGTGTTGATTGGGATTGACTGGTTGATCTAGTTCAGCTTCTGGTTGAAGAACAGAAGTTGTTGGTGTTTCCGGATGGATTGGCACTGAGTTGCCATTTCCGGAATTGTCGCCGTTTGAGATATCCGGAATATTGGAAGGCTGGTCAAAATTTCCGGAGGGCTCAGCAGTGTCTGAATCCGGATTTTTCTGTGAAATCTTCAGAGGCAGACTTCTGAATGGAATGAATTCCGTGGGTTTTATTCTATCTCCTTTATTGACTTCTTCATCCTTGTCTGATAGATCCAGAACCTCATGATCATGCTTTGATGGTTTGTCAACCACATGTTTTTCATCAAAAATAACATGTATTGACTCTTCAGTGATCATGGTTCTTTTGTTGAAGACTCTGAACGCCTTGCTTACCATGGAATATCCTAGGAAGATGGCCTCATCTGATTTCTCATCAAAAGTGTTCAGATGATTCTTCCTGTTGTTTAACACAAAGCACTTGCTCCCAAAAATATGGAAATATGATATATTAGGCTTTCTCCCGTTCCACAGTTCATAGGGAGTTTTGTTGTGCCTTTTATAAATCATACTCCTATTTTGAGTGTAGCAGGCTGTGTTAACTGCTTCAGCCCAGAACCTCTTTGGTAAGGAAGCTTCTGCTAGCATGGTTCTCACTGCTTCCTTCAG